ACAGAACTGAATTAGAACTGGATAATCTTTAAGGGTTCATGTGGTTCTGTCAGTCTGGGATTCCACAGTGACATTTTAGGCACTACATTTGCGAAGAGCTGTTTCTTTGGTGGCCTACAGATAAAAACCATGCTGGGAATGATGCCATGTATTGTATGTGATAATTCTGTGTGTTCACATAATAATTTATATTAATAGTTTCAAAGTATGTTAATGTACAGTATCTCATTTGAGAGTCTCAATGTGATGATGAAATAGGTCAGGAAGGTATTATATTCATCTTGTTGATGAAATGAAACCATTGTGGTTAGCATATTAAATAGTTATTTAAATTTGATGATCTTATTAACACTTGGGATGCTAGTAGCTGCCAGGATGAAATCTTACCAGTGAGGAAAAAAAGTCCTGTTAGAATAGCTTTCTCACCTTCATCTACTTGGCAAATTTATGTATTCTTCAGTTCTAACTTGAATATCCTGCAAGGCTTTTCTTGATATCCCTTATACCTCAGCAGAGTTGAAGCACTTTGATCAGTATCCTCAAGACTCTGAATGATCTGTTTAATGCCTTACTCATCCACTCTAATGAACTCCTTAAGTCCAGATACCTTGTCTTACTTATCCCTACACCATAGGGATAGCCCACATAGCACCTGGTCCTGGTATATAGAGATGCTCAATGAAAAATTGTACAGTGAAATGAAAGAGTCCAGTTGATGGGCTGGTTTTAAAAGGTTGCTGTGGAGTAGGAAGTGAAACTTGGGCTCTGAGTTGGGAAGAAGACATTTTGTATACCTTTTTTTAGATAGAAGTTTTGCCCAGTACATGCATTTAAAAATTGAAACAAAACAATAACCTGGTTTAATAAAAGGGAGGTCAGATCTATTAATAGTATAAATACGGATTTTTTAAAAATGAGAATTAAAGCTCATGACTTCTTGGGGATTTTTAAATTTGTTTTATTTTTCCCTAAATTATATTACTGTATCATACACATTTTAGAGCAATCTTGTATTCAGTCAAGACTGATTTAAAGTGGTGAAATAGAATTTTAAAATTCTCTCAAGAAATAAACCATTACCTGGTTAAGCTTTGTGTTACATGGTGTTTATACTTGTCTGGAGACCTGTTCTTCTTACTGAAAGACTCTTGTTAAGAGAAGCCCTTTTTTAGTACTGACTTTCTCAAATGTGCCATAATGTAATGACCCCTTTGGAAAGAAAAATACAAATGTATTTTTCATAATGTTACTTCAGGTATGAAAGGTATAGGCATGAAAGTAGATATAAAATATTTGTTTTGGGCTCATTGACAACTATAAATCAAGTCTGCAAATTAAATATAAAGACAACTACAAAACAACAACATTCAAATGAATACAATTACTCAGTGTGACAGATGATGTTAGGTTTCATAGTAGGAAAAAAAACAGCCTTTGGTCTGATTTCATTTTAAATGTTTCTTTTTGTTAACTTCAGTGATACTAAAAGTTGCAAGTGCCGAGATTCTCGTAAGTGATGTTGTGCAAGGTGGTACTATTCTTCAAGGCTTTGTAAGTTCAGGATAATCAGACCTCATACCTAACCAAAACACTTGCAAGCATTCCTCAAATACCAATTTTAATGAGATGTCTACTGTCTTGTTCACTTGATGAGGTTAACATTATGACATTATTGAAATCTTTAGTAAATGGCTCTGTAAAAGAATTACTGCTGGCAGTGAGAATGGAAAGATTTCATTGCATACTTAAAACCATATTTACTGCTAATTAACTTCTGCAGATTGTACTACATAGATAGGACCCATGTCATACTTACAGCATATATGTGGTATTGGCTGTTAGACTATTGGCTTTCAAAAATACCATGAATATACCAGGCCTGTATCACCATATGCTCTGGCGATTCAAATTCCCTGTACTTTTCACTCTTTCACTCACAATTACTATGAAAGCCTTGCTGGTAGAGTGTGCCATGAGAACATTTGGCCTGAGGGAGATCTTAACCCAGCTGAGGAAGCAGCAGTGAGAGCCTCCTGGCAGTGCTTGCTTAGGTGGCGGTTACTCATGATCTAGAATGTCTGTCATTCATCTTAGATTATCTTTTAAATGAAAATATTTAAAACATTTTTGTACACAACTCTTAGACTCCCCTTCTGCCAACATATTTGTGACTCCTGTTTGGGAAACACTGCTTTGGTAAATATTTTTCTGATCACTATTTAGGAGTCTGGGGAAGATGGGAAGACAAATCAAATAAAAAAAAAACTTGGGCCTTCTTCGTGTAATGAGAGACACTTTAACAGCAAACTATAAATAGACTGATTTGTGATAACCTAAAGGTATGCAAAGAGGGCAATGGGAAGAAAGTGAAAGGAGTTGTCCAGTTGTCTTACGGGTAGGGGAGAGGTTTAGAGCGTATCTTGGAAAAGATCTTGTTTGAATAGGGTCTTAAAAGATGAGAGAGTGGGTTTAAACTAGGCAAAGGGGTAGTATATGTAAAGACCAATGTCAGGAAAGACATGATTATCATAATGATGAGAAGTGCATGGCCCTGGATAGCATTTGTAATGTGAGCACTAAGTTGGAACCCAAAAGTAAGTTTTAATTGTTAGACAAAGTGTTTAGCTGTCATTTCATATGCTTTAAGGGAGCCAAGATCTTAGAACAGGGAGAGTATTCATGGCAGTATTTTTATATATAGCAATTACCATATTGTATTGTAATATTTTTCTTCACTGGTCACTGGAGCTTTTCAAGGGCCATGACCATAAGTTATTAATCTTTGTATACTAAACTTTTGGTAGAGTAACTGATAAAGGTAATGCTTAGAAAACATTGGTTGATGACTAATCACGAGTAAAGAGGATTTGGGAGAGAATAATGGCAATCTTCTGTGGTGGTGGTTTTAATTTTTTGTGGGTGACAGACCACTTTGTGGTTCTGTTGAAAGCTGTGAACTTTCTCCTTGAAAATGCAGATACATACTACATTTGGCCTGCAGTTTCATGGGACTCATGTATCCCTGAAGCCAGTCCATGGATTCCTGGTTCAGAATCTCTCCTTAGGAAATTATACCAGGGAACCTACACTAACCATCATGAATAAGCCACTGTTGTTTTTAACAGTCTTTAAATGTTAGGTTATGATTATATCTCGTATACTTTTCTTGAGTTCTCTTCATACTTATGAGGATTTAATTCAAAGAGCTGAACTATCTATGGAGAAAGAAAAAAATTTTTTATAATTATTAAGATAAAACTTTGCTAGTCTGTAAGAATAGACAAATATGCTAATTAAGCCAGCAACCAAAAAGCAGCTGCTTGAAGAGATTGTGGTGTTCCTGAGTTTGGGTTTAGCAGGTGAGTTGGGGGTTCTCAGAACCATCCTCAGGCTTGATGATTTGCTAGAAGGACTCATACGACCCAGAAAAGCTGTTATACTCATGGTTTTTATTTATTACAGTGGAAAGATACATATTAAAATCATCAAAAGGAAAAGGCAAGGCACATGGGGTGAAGTCCAGGAGAAATCAGGTGCAAGCTTCCAGATGTCCTTTCCTAGTGCAATAGCAGAGGTGCACGCCATAGCTTAGCAGTGATGTGTGACAGCGCGTGGGAAGTGTTGCCAACCCGGGAAGCTCCCCGGAGCCTTGGTGTTCAGGGTTTTCAATTGGGGCTCAGTCACACAGGCTTGCAGCATTCTTATCAGGGAGAATATTTCAAGGTGTCAAAGCTCATCTTCCAGGAACTGGCCAAGGGCCAGTCCTGAAGACAGGCCATTCTTGAGAATGTGTGTGGTTTGAGCACACACATTCTGTAGAGTTAAACCTTTCCTGCACAGCAAGTTAGCTGTTCAGAATTAGCCAGCTTTCTTCTGTCTGGCCTGCTTGTCTGCCTGGTCATTCTTTTTCTAGTTAAAGTAGACCTCCCTGGTCTCATCATAGATGGTCATTCTACAAATCCGGGCTCTCTCTTTCCCTTGCTAACATGTAATTGGAAAGTTTGGACTCAAGGATATACCTGTGTTTTGCAGTTTCATGAGATTATAGTGAAATATAAGTACCCATTCTGTCATTCATTCAGCATTTTTTGAATGCTGCCCCAGGCCTAGTGCTAGATGTGGATTTACAGAAATTATTAATATGGATCTCTGCCCTCAGAGACCTTAGAGTTTCATAAGGGAGAGGGAAAAAAAGCAATTCTGGTTAAGCAATGTGTGCTTTGGGAAGCACTTAACCTCGCTGGAGAGCTTAGTAGAGGGTGTGTCTCTGTGAACGGGAAAGTGTTGGTGATAATTAGGAGAACACTTCCTTTAAAGGGTTATTGCTCAAGTTGAACCATAAAGGTCAAACAGATGAAAGTGAGCATGGAGCTGGTGTTTCTCCAGTTGTTTCTGTAGCCAGTTGCCTGTGTGGTTGGAGCATGTATGTATTCTTTGCTTATGAGAAAATACCCTAATCCTATTTGGAAGATACGGGTCTTTCTCGGTTTTGCACAAAAGAAAGGAATGTCTGGCTCAATACAAATCTGTTTCCATTACTTCACTACTGTAAATTTACCCAAATGACATTTCCAGCCTACAGTGAAGGGGTAGTCGTGTTTTCACACATTGCTCCCCAGTGGGAGTATACAGATGAATGCCTAGTTTTGGACTAATAAGTATAACCATTACAAACTAACTTAAATGTATTTTGTTTCAAATGGGAGGGCTTGCCTTACCTTGATGAAATTGCACATAACAATTTTTCTATACTAGGAAGCCAAAAAGTCTTAGGCAAAAAACTAGGTCCAAATTCAATCATGTTTGGCTCCTATATATGTGTGCTTCTTAAGAAAATTTGGAACTTCTCAGTGTAACAAAGTTTTGTTTTTTGAATAGTGCAAAAAAAGTGTATAATGATAATAGAATCAGGAATGTATGATAGAGAATATAGGATAATTTCAGGTTGTTAATCTTGAGAATTTTTCTGATAGAATCTTTTTCTCTTTTTCCAGCATTACAATGTTTCTGCCACCTTTGTACAAAAGACAATTTTACTTGTGTCACAGATGGGCTCTGCTTTGTCTCTGTCACAGAGACCACAGACAAAGTTATACACAATAGCATGTGTATAGCTGAGATCGACCTAATTCCGCGAGACAGGCCATTTGTATGTGCGCCATCTTCAAAAACTGGGTCTGTTACTACAACATATTGCTGCAATCAGGACCACTGCAATAAAATAGAACTCCCAACTGTTGGTAAGTTGTTGTATACATATTTTTTTCTTAGTACTACAAGAAAAGCTCTTAGACTCTATGATTCTAGAGCTGGAAGGGATCTTAAAAATTGACTACCCCAGCTTATTCAGTTTAGAGGCAAGAAGTAATTTGTCTGTAGTTGTAGAGTTACAAGGTTAGCCAAGATGCTGACTCCTGGGGGTGTGTTGTTTGAGAAAGTTGTTCCAAGACAGACTTTCTCTGAGGTCTGTTATGCCTGAAAGGGTAGCCTTTTTTAGTGAATTGTGACAAAGCCCACCATAGCAATATGTCCTCAGAGTGTCCCTATGTTGTCCTCATGCAGGTGATAGCAGACTAGTGAAGAACTGGCCAACCACAGGAAGAGATGGAGGTGAAAGAACCTCTTGCAGAATCCCCAGGGACCTTAAGCCGAGGGGCTGGGCATGAGCTTAGGCTACAGGGGCGAAGCCTCAGTTCTCTTTAGGAAGCATCCTCTTTTGGTGCTCAGAGGAGGCACTGCTGTAGCTCAGAGGAAAAGGGCCAGTCCTGCCAGTTGTAGAAGGAAGGCAGCCCGCCACCTAGTTCAAGTGATTAACGGCAAAGGAAAACCAAATCCAGTGGCAAAGCTTTGTCAGACTGTAATTTTTCTGACTCTTATGGAGGCACCTGCAGTTCTAATATGACAAAGAAAGTGATAATTCCAGAACTTTCCATGTTCATCATTTGGGCTTGAAATTTCTGAATGGAGATTCACAAAGCCTTATGAAGAACTCAGTTTATTTCTAATGCTAAACATACACAAATCCTTCGTTCCCAAGTCCCTAATAAGCAGACAGCAAAAAACAAAAACAAAACAAAAACAAATGGAAAGATTCAGTGGTTCAGAAGTAGACTGAACTGGATAAATCAGAGTAGATGTCATCCTCTGAAATAGACTTAGCACATGATAGGGAAGAACTTTCAGACAGTCCAAGGTCTGTTTTCAGTTGTTTTTACAATGAAATGAGAACATTTCACAGTTGTTAAGATTGCTTTCAGATGAAAAGCTCAATTGATGAATTAATTTTTAAAAATGCAGTATTAAAAGTGAATAGCAGACTGTGTACTGTAGTTTTACAGTCAAGCATGAGACAAGCTTAAGGTAAGACAGGTTTGGAAAATTGTGTTATAATTCAGAGAAAAAGACAGTTGGTGAGCAAATTAAGAGATACAGAGAACAGAGCTAGATGATCCAATATGCTTAGTGTAAAAATTCCAGAAAAACACAAAAGAGCAGACAGAAGAGAAAATACTATGTTAACTTAATGGAAAAATACTTAACCAAATATATAATGAAAAAGTATCAATTTTCAAGAATAAAGAAAACTTGTATACACATTCAGCACAAGTGAACACTGGTTACCTATAAAAGAAAAAAGTTCAGATTTTCTGCTTTTTTTAAATACCAAAAGGCAGTGGAATATCGTATTATTGCTTGTTACACAGAATTCTTTAGATGAGCCAAGATTTTTTGTATATAAAGGCAACAGCCTTCTTTTAGATAATTAAGTATTCAGTGTATAAAGACTCATATACTCTTCTGAAAGAAATTACTAGAATTATGACTCTTTATACCATAAGAAATAAATCCAAACAAAGATCTCACAAATGGTAAAGATGTGACGCAAAAGAAATGATGGTGAGCCATGAACCAGCAAGTGTCAGGATGGATGCCAAAATAAAAATAATTAATGTGTTTCTGAAACAATGCAATGATTTTGAAGTAAAAGTCTAAGTAACTAAAATAAACTAGAATGTATACCCATGTAAACTCTATTTTAAAAAGGATATATTTTTCTATAAAAAAATTGGTGGAGATACGCAAAACACTAAAATGTACAGTTTGGGGGGATGGTGAGGCTGTAGATAATTTTTTTTTAACTTTTGCAAATGTATTTATACATTTTTTCCTGCTATGAGCATATACTGGCCTTGAAATAAAAAGATAAGCCAAACTACTTAAAAAAAAAAGAAAAGACAAATATTTAATGGGAGCTTTTCTAGATTATCGGTTCTTTTATTAGTGATCTGAGAGTGATTAATGGGGGAGGTCCTAGAATATTTTTGGTAGCTGCACTTGTTATAGAGGATGGCTCAAGACTATAGGAAGACTAAGTGGATGTTGACAGAGCTGGTGATCATAAAAGGAGAGGAGAGCCAATGGGAGAAGACTAAATGATTCACTTATTGTGGGTTTGAGGACTGAGCTGCTTGTGATGAGGCTCTGACTAATGGTAGTAGAGGCCGCCTGCAGGAAATGTGGAGGACTGGGAAGTTGTGAATGCCACTTACCATGTTACTGTTGTTGTTGATGTTTATTTCACTTGAGGCCCTTTTCCAGGAAAGCCATCATCTGGCCTTGGTCCTGTTGAGTTGGCAGCTGTCATTGCTGGACCAGTCTGCTTCGTCTGCATCTCACTCATGTTGATGGTCTATATCTGCCATAACCGCACTGTCATTCACCATCGAGTGCCAAATGAAGAGGATCCTTCATTAGATCGCCCTTTCATTTCAGAGGGTACTACGTTAAAAGATTTAATTTATGATATGACTACATCGGGTTCTGGATCAGGTAATGTATTTGTTTTTTCTTTTTTCTAAGATGTCTTTTTAAAGTTAACTGTACTATTTATTTTATTACTTGGCAAAGCGAGTTGGCTTAGTTTGTTAGAACTTGGGATAGTATAAACACTACTTCAGCTTTGAACCTAATAAAGGTCTTTAAGCTAGGTCTGTATCTGACTGTGGCTAATTTAGTACAGACAAATTAGAACTGACTTATTTCAGCAGCAAAAGTAAGTCACCTTCACATTTGTGTAAATGTCAAAGCATTCTCACCTTCTTAGGGCTCCACGAGATAGAATAAGGATAGTTATTCTCCTATAGCTGAGGCTGAAGTTCAGAGATGTTCAAATGATCTGCAGCTACTCATTCTCTTCAGGATTGTTTAGCAGCTTTATTTTTGTATTTGAAAGCAGACAGAGTGTGTGTTTGGAATTGTGAAGGTTATTTGATTTTTTAACATGAAATTGCTGTCTTTAGCTCAGGCCTAGTTTTTTTTATTTAATGAATTTTTAGGCATTTTTCTTACTTTAGAAAAAAAAATCTGACCACCTTGTTAATTAATATAGCTTTATGGATCCATGGCCCCTGTGATGTTTGCTTTTCTCAGTCCTGTTTGTTGGATCTGAAATAGATAGGCTGGCTAATTGCCCGAATCACTTCCTGAAGAGAATTTTGGCATAGCCATCAGTGCTTCGTGTTTCCATCGAAAGGGACTTATATTTTTTTTTAACCATTTCTTGTGCGTGCTGTGGAAGGGTACTAAGGGAAGAGAGTACCTATCCTCTACAATGTTGTAGTTTGACACTCCGCTGCGAGTCAGGAGGTCTAGATTCCAGTGCAACGTTGTCACTGATAGGCTCTCTGATCTTGGTTAAACCATGTTTCCTCCTTGGGCTTCTGCTTCTTCATCAGAAATATGGAATAGATACTGTTGGTAATAATACTTAAAGTGCTTTGTGAGGACTTTTAAATATACTATCCTTTAAAAAGTATAAATTAATTTCAAATAAGGGCTTGATTCATGGATAAAAATATACAGAAATATAATGAAAAATTTCACCAATTTTATAATCATATGATTAAAGGAATATTAAAGCAGAAATCGTGATTGGGGGAAGAATATTACTGTGAAACAAAATCACATCTGATACAGAAAGTTCACATAATTAAAAATGTCTTTTTATTTTAAGGGAATGAAGTTATATTGGTGTATATGTATGTATTATGTTCATTAAGCATGAAGAAACTGATTTCATGACCTAAAGCTGTCTTCTGTAGAATTTGGCCGTATGTATATTCAGTAACTGAGTTCTGTCCATGACTGCTAGGATACATATAGGCTTACACTGGAGCGAGGTCTCTTAAGGCAGCCTTAAGGGACCCTTGAGACCAGTGTGAGGAGGGAGGCAATGAGAGGCTGGATTAAGACGGAGGAGCCTTCGCACTGAAGATGTGACAGTCTTTGGGTAGGAGTGGTGCAGGAGTGGGGAGAGGTTGTTCTAGGGCTTCCCTCGGGTTTCCCTTTGATTCCGAGTTGGTTCAAAGGATTCCCAAAGAAGATATGGCTCATTCTAGAGTTACCTGGACCAAAAAACTATGACAAGGACCACAGTCACAGGAGATTAGGGTGGCAATAGATAATTTGGAATTAATCCCTTGGACCTTTTCTCTTGTTGCCAAACTTACATCCAGAGAAATCACAGCAACTCATGCCATCTGGCACAGTAATGTGTATCAGACCTCAAGAGAGCACGCCTACCTAAAAGATGGAAGGTTATTGCTGTCTGGATGGCAGTTGATTTCTGAATAAGAAAATATTTATTTAAGATACAAACATGACTTAAAGAACAGAATTATTCCTTTTTCATTTTATCTATTTCTAGATCCATCAGGGACCCACACTGAAAACCTCTCTCCCTCCTTTTATGCCTCCTTTTACCCTACAAAAACTTGTCTGGTTTTCTGTGACTTTCAGCAGTTAGCTGATGTCTCATGCCTGAGTTATTTCATCTTTAAAATGAAAGTAATGAACCCTGCATTGTGTACGTCACTGGATTGTTGGGAGGTTCAAATAAAACGAGATGTTTGTGTGAAAGCACTTAAGCACTTGGTCGATTGTAAAGTTCTAACCAAATGACAGGTGCTACTCTTACTGAAAAGATATTCAGGGGAAAAAATCTGACATACAGTATGAATTTGCTGCATTGCTCAAAACAGCGTAGTTTAAGGCCGCCTTCCCTGTCATAGTTTACTGTGTGCTGAATGGGCTCCAGATGTATCCAGACAGAAGCTATCATCTATTGAATGACAGCAGAAAATGCCATTGCTTTTCCTTTTATTTATTTTAAATCCTTAATGCGACTTCATGCATGGGACTCACGTCAAATGTCTTTATATAGTATCCTTGTTAGTTCTTTCACTTATTGTGGAGAAGGTAAAACTAAACATTTTATGTTACGAATTCAAATGGAAAGGCCCTCTCTCTTTCAGAGACTACTTTTAACTTAGGAACTGTGGGAAGACAAGGGAGAGCAAGGGTCTGGCAGCTAGCTCTAAACTTAAAGCTAACCTTATTCCAGCTGCATTAATTTGAATCACAAGTTGCTCACATGCCTGTATTTCAGCTGTCATTAGGTTAAGTGTGTGTGAACATGCACATGTGTGCCAGTGTTTGCAAGTATGAGTCTCTTAGGCCAATGTTCATTATATCTTGTTCCTGCTTATGATCTCTTCAATGTATGCATGTTGTTCAGGTCTTCTGTTGTCCACTGCATGTGAAGGTGCTTGAACCGTGTTTCCCTGTTGAAGCTTTCAAGCAGTTCTAAAAGGTACAGGAGTAAAGCAGAGAATATAGAGATCCAAACTAGGCCTGTTTCTTTTTTCTTTAGGAGAAAATCACTACTTGTAAAAAAAAAAAAGCTCAGCTATTCATGTGGGTTATGGTAACCACATATAGATAATATGATAAATGCAGATTTGGCTTTTAATTTTAGTTCTGCATCTAGAATCCTGTGATGATGGGGAAAACAAAAACTTCCCTTGTCCTCTGATAGCCTTTCTTGACCATACCATATGCATGAGCCCTGAATGTGTCAGGCATTTTCAGACTTCCCATTGGCGATTCCCTTTGTTCTTTATTCCCTGCCTTTCTAATTTCTGGATCAGCCTCCTGAGATTAACTCTTAAGTATTCTTTAAATCTTTAAGTACATGGTGTGGCCCTGTTCAAAGGCTTTAAGAAAATTTAGTAAATTAGTGTATACACTAGACAATATAATTAGGAATTGATCATTCATAATACAAAAGGGCTCCTGATTTAAATAAGGATTTTTCACTGATTTATTTTTAACCAGCACTCTCCTTATAAAAAAGGTTGTTTATAATTATTAGGCTGTTAACTACTTTGCAGGAAGTGGGGAAGATAGAGCAAGGGGAGGAAAGGACCTTTTGAGAAACTTAAAGGTGGAAAGAGGCAACTTAAAAGTAAAGATTTAGCATTTGGATTTATAAGCATTTAACATCAGGGAACCAAAGAGATCATTTCATTTACTTCCATTGGGTTAATTTGATTTAGCAAGCAACTCTGAATATAGATTATAAATGACACAAATTTATGTATTATACTGTATAAATAAAACAGTGTAGAACATGATGTACACTGATATTTTAATTGTTAGCATCAGTATAATTTAAGGTGACAGTTTTTAGTCCATGAGGATATGTTATTAAGTGAACTGGAGTAGTCCCAGATATAGTGTTACGTAAATTTTGTAGGTAGGTAGTAAATCTTTTTTTGTAAATGAAGTAAGTATGGAAATATTTAAAAATATGTATTTTAGAGTAAGGCAAGTTCATTTGGTGAAAAAACTACCAGTGTCTCATCACCAAGCTAAGTTACTTGGCATCATTCTTTAGGATCCTAGTGTTGCCTGGGCAGCCAGTTCCTACCACGTAAATTGCTTGTCTTAAAATGGCTTCTGTGATACTTTCGACTAATTTATTAAAAGTTAGGCCAGAATTTACTTCTATGTTTTTTCCGTTTACATACTTTTCTCCTCCTCACCAGTAAAACTTACCAAATTCATCTTTCTAAAATAAGATTTTAAAATTATTTCTCTCCGTTCATGGTCCCTTTTCAGAAATCTTTAGTGGCTTCTCTTTTACCTCCATCTCTCATGGTCATCTTGAGCCTGGCATTCAGTACTCTTCAGCAGTCTGGGGCAGCTTCCCTTCTCTTCTGCTGCTTTACCATATGCATTCTCTTCCTGTTTATCTAAGTTGGTTCCCTAACCATGCATCAGTTTCTTCTACCTTTGCTTATATATTCCTCCTGCCTAAACACCTGACCGTCTCTTCTTCTTTGGTCTCTCCCTTCTGTCAAGGACAGTCTAAGATTAGCTTATCTTTTAAAGCCTACCTTGACTCTCTAGGCAGGAGTTTCTGGGTTCTTTTATTGTATTTATTATTTTCCTTTTATCATGAATTACTGTTTTTGCAAATGTATTCTGTATCTCCTCAGTGAGATCGTAAGTTCCTTAAAGGTAGAGCTTAAAGAGTTAAACCTTTCTGGGTCATTCTTTTAAGGCATGTTATTGTGTTAGAAACGTGTACTGTGGTTGATTGTGTTGAATACGATTTCTTTTATCTTTAGGTTTACCGTTGCTTGTTCAGAGAACAATTGCAAGAACTATTGTGTTACAAGAAAGTATTGGCAAAGGTCGATTTGGAGAAGTTTGGCGAGGAAAATGGAGAGGCGAAGAAGTCGCTGTTAAAATATTCTCCTCTAGAGAAGAACGTTCATGGTTCCGTGAGGCAGAGATCTATCAGACTGTGATGTTACGTCATGAAAACATCTTGGGATTTATAGCAGCAGATAATAAAGGTCAGTAACATCTGCTTCTCTTTTAACAAAATGCTTCCCACAAACAAAACTACTCAACTTTGTCATATTTGACGAGAAATAGATGTTTGTCATATAAATTAGACCCATTAAGTCACATAGAATATATTAGAAGCCTTTAGAAACAGGATCTTCTTAAAACATTTTCTTGACTCTTGACAACATGTTCCTGAACCTCTAATTGTTTTATAAAATGTAAAGAGCTATTAGAAGAAGCTGTGTGCTTTTGTTAGTTTGGTTCTGGGGAGTTACTGAGTGTAGTCACAGTATAGAGAAGAATTTGTAAACACTAGTTGCCCAGGACTTTGAGATAGGATAGCGCTCAGATATGTTTCCTTTTAATCTCTTCCTGACCGTTAGGGCATTCTGATATTACCTAATGACCTTACTTACAGGGAGCATAAAAGTAACGTCTCAGTGTATTCTCTGTCTAAATTGCTAGGGGCTAAATAGATTAATCTCTTAAGTAAACTCACTTAAATAAGGAAATGGTTTCTTGAAAACCACCTTGCCCTTGGTAACCACGTGGACACACTCTTGCCTGTGGTACACAGGTGCTCGAGGCCAGATCAGATGCTGAAGGAAGTGAGGAAGCCGTGTCAGTGGAGAGTCAGGACGAGTGGTGGCTGTGAGCAGTGACTTCATTTACTTTCTTGGCTTCAGTTACCGTAGTGCTCACAACTCCGACCTTTATAGCTTCTGTCAGAGGCTTGTATTATAACTCAACTCTGGTCATACCTCCAAATCAAATGTATTTCCCAGCTTTCCTGTTTTTTAAAAAATGCTATCATTATCTTTTTTTAAAGGCCAGAACTATAGTCATCTTTTTACTTTTCTCCCTTCCCATTTTCTTCAACCGTATTTATTTCTTCATAATAGTAGTAGTGTTTAAGCTCAGTTGGTATTCATGGGTGACTTTGATTTTTCTTTTTGTTTCTCTGTATTTTCAAATGTATTTACAAGCATTTATTACTTTAAAAAAACACTTTTATTTATAGAAAATTTCCAGTATATAGAAAAGCAGAGAATCTGATGAACCTCCATCACCCAGTTTCAATAATTATCAAGTCACTGTCAGTCATGTTTGATCTCTGATTCTACCTACTCTGCCCCATCTGAATTATTTGAAGCTAATCCCAGAACACATCTTTTCATCCATAAACATTTCAGTTTTTATTTTTAGATCATGAGGAATCTTTTTTTATGAAATATAACCATACCATTTTTTTAAAAAAGTCATCAAATATCTAGTCAGTTTCACATTTCTGCAGTTGTCTCCTATTTCCTTTTTTTTTTTTTTAAAGAATTGGTTATTCACTTTAGGACCCATGTCATTTGGTTGATACTTATCTTAAGTCCCTCAAAATCACTAGGTTCTCCTTTGTCTTTTTTCTTCTTGTACTTTCTTTGCTGAAGAAACTGGATTGTTTGTCCTGTAGGACTTAATTAAATTATTGTAGGTTTGCTAACTGAATTCATATAGTATCTCTGAACTTGCTCCTTGTATAATGTGAAAACTGATAGATAGAATTAGAGACAATCTGGTTGTTTCATTGATTTCCTGAAATATTATATATTTTCTACATATTGTATACATTCTGTTGCATCACATCAGGAAGCATAGAAGTTTATCTCCTTTTTGTGACTTGGGGCAGTGATAGATATAGGCAGCCATTATCAATAGCTATTACCAATTCAGTATTATTTAATTTAAGAAAAAAAACAAATCAATAAAGCAGTGATCATTGTCTGACCAAGGCCTTAGTTTTCTTCTGCCTTTGACACCATTTAGCTTCTCCCCCAACCCTTAAAACTACTTTTATTATGCTCTGGGACTCTAGACTTTCTTAATAGTTGTCTTTATTTTCTGAAACTCTTCTTAATCATAGAAAGCTCTAATTCTTCAGATAGTAACTGCTCCCTTAAAGAACCTTCCCACATTTCTGGTTTCAAACTTTACGGTGGTGACTTTAAATCTGCATTTTGAGGCTCAATCCTCACCCAGGCCCAGCAAGTTTTAGTCTTGTTCCAAGTTGTAAACAAGCTGTGCCCTGAACTCTTCCCATTCATTCACACAGCATGCAAGCTGGTGCTGTCATCTGGTGGTCACCATGGGAACTGGCGACCTGCTGGCTTTTCCTACTTCCTTTCTTCTTTGTCAGGGGTTAATGGACCTTGCCTGGAACCTAGCCCCTCGACCTCCATTCCCTTTTCCTTTATCTCTCTCCTCCTGATTTAGTGATTCCACCTCAGACAACCCCTTACATGTGCACAGCCTGAAATATATCCTTCCTTCTTGTCAGTTACCTTAGAAACTCTCCCATTCTTCCATCTGGCTGTGTTCCTATCATCTGTGAGCCTTTCAGAATTCAGGCATGGTTAATAAATTAAGCATAGAGATAAAGCTAGTGATACGCCTGTGTCAGGGAAAAAGAAAGGTACAAGTTTGAACAGAATCAGTTTAAAAAGTTTATGAAGAAACAGGTTTATAAAGAACTAGTGTCATGAATATCTAAATCCTTTTAAAAATACTCAAAAATCCCCTCCGGAATCTTTTGAAAAAAAATCTCATTCCTTAATCTCTTCTAATCAGAATTGCTTTCCTCCAAGTAGTATCTTTCAAAATATAGAAATTGTTTTATGTCAGTTTGAGTTTTTTCTTTTGTTGTAACTAATAGGGAAGGAAATAGCACATTTTAAGTTCTTACATGCCATGAGATGTGTACTAAATGCTTTAAAAATCTATTATCCTATTTTTAAAATCTTAATAGTTTTGCAAAGTAAGATATTCTTGTTGTGTAAAAGAATAAACAAAGGCTCATTGGTTAAGAAACTCGTCTGAGGTCACGTAGTCAGTAATAGTCAGCCCCTGAATTCCAACCCAGAGCAGAATGACTCCAAGTGTGCATCTTGTACTGAATTGTCCTCCTAGTATTGTTCATTTTTAGCTTTCATGATTTGTGAAATATATGGTTTTCTAGTGACTTCTAGGTTAAATAGGCTTTTGTGGACCAGCCTCACTTAGAAGCCCAGTGAGAACCTTTGCCATGATTCTCATGGGAAATACATTCAAATTAAATTTCAGATTCATGTATCTGCTTACAAATGAACTTATGGAAAAGTCACCTTGTGTAAAACTGGATTCAGTCCCAGCTTTTTCTCCTCCTGACATTTCCAGTTCCTGTCTCAGCTTCCTCATGTGTCAGTGATACCACTATTTTTACATTTTTCTAAGCTGGAAACCTTGGAATCATAATCATCTTGTCTGGCTTTTTTATGAACTGTGTACACAGGCTGTCATTAAAGCTTGCATTTCTCATTTAAGCTCACTTTCAGTTTGTCTCATACTATTCCATTCCCACTGTGGCCACAGTAGATTCCAGATACTTATCTTCTTCGCCTCCCCACTCCCTTGTTGTTTCTCTTCTTCCTTCCAGAACCAAACATTGAACCCCTAACCTGAACCGGGCATTCTTCTACGCACCAAACAGTCCCAGCTCTGCTGCTGTCTGTGTAGACGCAAGATCACCATCTTTGAACTGTGATTCCTTGTCTCTTGAATGGGATTAGTTATCCTTGCCATATCTCAAGAATAGGGGGCTTACTTTTAGGATATAAAGGATATACACATAAAAGTATAAGAGAAACTGAAAATACAAGAAAATATGAAGGAAATATATACAAATATAAGGTATTAACAAATTACAGTTGTGTGATTCAGGATTGAGTGTAAAAAGTAGTGGTAACTTAAGTACATCGTAAATGTTCGATAACCCATCTGAATAGTCATTCTACTTTGCAGACAATGGTACATGGACTCAGCTCTGGTTGGTGTCAGATTATCATGAGCATGGATCCCTTTTTGATTATTTGAACAGATACACAGTTACTGTGGAAGGAATGATAAAACTCGCTCTGTCCACAGCAAGTGGACTTGCCCATCTTCACATGGAAATTGTTGGTACCCAAGGTAACTCAAAGCAATCTTGTTATTTAAGCTTTAAATTCCCATGGATCTAATGTCTGTTCAGAAAATTTTTGCAAAAGTCAGCCTAACTGGAGATGTTTAAAATAAGTTTTTAGATGAGAATATTTTCTCTTTCTGTTGATAAGCTAAGGTGGAGTTAGGAATGTGGGAATTCATTTAGAGATTCTCTAGTCATTGTAACACTGGTATTTTTGTGAGTTCTTAAAAGTAGCATTTAGTCTTGTGATTTTTGAGGATCTTGGTTTTGGAATTCAATTTATGTGTAGTATCAAATGAAATGTGAAAATGCTTTGTAAACATCAATATGCTACGCAAATGTTATCTGGCCATCTAATAATTGTATTTGATCCTAGGATAAAAGAAACTGCATGAAACAATTTTACAGTTGAAAAATTGATACTAAGTTTTAGTTATGAAATTTTTATGCTGTGATTTTTGTGCCATATAAGGTAACAGATGCTAATATAGTCTCTCTGCTCTAATGATTATCCACTTGCTACCTAATGGCTCCCTGACTCCCCACTTTACTACACACATCACACGTGCAATCTCAACTGGCCCCATTGTTGTACTTTTTATTATTGTTGATTATAACAGCTTTGAGTTGTAATTCACATACCATACAGTTCACCCACTTAAAGTGTACAATTCAGTGGTTTTTTTAGTATATTCAGAATTGTGCAACTATCACCACAGTTGATTTTAGAAAATTTTCATCACCTCAAAAAGAATGCTACACATTAGCAGTCACTCCTCATTTCCCCCAAACTCTTTAGCCATTGGCAACCTCTAATCAATCTACTTTCCATCTCTAGATTTGCTCATTCTGGACATTTCATATAAATGGCATCATACAATATGTGGTCCTTTGTGACCAGCTTCTTTCTCTTGCTGTATTTTCAAGGTTTATCCATGTTGCAGCATTTATCAGTACTTCATTCCTTTTTATGGCTGAGTAATATTTTATTTATACCACATTTTGGATATTCGTATTCACCAGTTGATGGACATTCGGGTTGTTTCCATTTTGGATTATTATGAATAATGCTGCTCTGAACAGTGATGTAGTGTTTTCTGTGGACATGTGTTTCCAGTTCGGTTGGACGTACACCTGGGAGTGGAATTACTGGATCAGACAGTAACTCTGTTGTGAAACTGCCAGACTTTTTTCAAAGTACCTGTAGTATTTCACATTCCCACCAGTGGTGTATAAGGGTTCCAGGTTTTCCACACTGTAGCACTTAAATAGCACTTTTGCTGGTGGTTAGTATTAGAGATGCTGTGCATTTAATGAGTACATTCACTGGATAGGCAAAGGAAGTGATCTAGATTCTTGGTCCTTGGATTGGAATATCCGTGACTAGAGTTCCTATTAAAAAAATTCATAGGGTATCAACAAACTTATCTTTAACCACCCCCCAGCATGCTATGAGTCTTTGAGTATTAGACTTATTTTTTGAATATCATCTTTTGGAGCATCTTGTTTTCTCTATTTTCTTTGAAGAAATGTAATTTCAGCAACTTTTTGTGTATTGATTCACTTAAGGTTGTTTAGTAATGGCCCAGGTATTGCAGGTGATGGGGGCTGAAATGCTTTGGCACTAGGACGGGAAGTAAGGCTTTTGAACCTAAAGGTGAGACTTGTGGATGGTATTACCCACTAAACAACCATGTTTAACCTTTTTCTTCTTTAGGAAAACCAGCCATTGCTCATAGAGATTTGAAATCAAAGAATATCTTGGTAAAGAAGAATGGAACTTGCTGTATTGCAGACTTGGGACTGGCAGTAAGACATGATTCGGCCACTGATACAATTGATATTGCTCCAAACCACAGAGTGGGAACAAAAAGGTATACTATGGATACACAGTAATTAATATGTTCTGAAATCAGCTTCTTTTCCTTCTCATTGGTATATACATATCTTTTCTGAAACTCAACTTTGTACTTTGTTAGATTGCCCTCAGGTAGAAGATCTCATGGTCTTGCCTGCTCTGAAGCCAGGGTTACCTGAGTTAAAAAGGTACCCACTGATGAAAGGTGGCGCTTCCAGAAAATATTACTATGAGTTATGTTACTGTAATAGTAGCTACTGTTTCTAGGATATCTACTACGTGCCAGTCATTTTAATGGGTCTTTTATATATATTATCTCACTTAATGCTCACAGCAAATGCTCCACTATAGTTAGCCCAACTGTTTCCATATTTTTATTTCCTGAACATATGTCTTTCTCTTAGAACTTCTGCATATACTGTAGCCTAGAGCATACTTTCCCCTCCTGTTTCCCTTTGTGAGTCCTAATCAGCAACCTTAGTAAAGTTTTTGAAACCTCAGAACCCTACAGTGTGGCATCAGTAGGACTGGTATTCATTTTTGTCTCTTACTTTGTTTCCTGGAATATAGTCCTGTCCTTCTTTTTATCCAGTTTTAGTGAGAAGACTTCTGGAGTAAAATATATAGTACATGACAAAGGAGGTGGTGTACATCAAGACACTTGGGATAGTCAGTTGATACATGTATGTCCTTCATTGGAAACGAAGATCATAAGGCAGACAGCATGAAATTGCTGTTTTAGCTTTTTATAGGATTTAGTTGACATCATTAATTTGCAAACCAATGCAGATCTTTAATATTATTCTTGGGTCTAGTATGATCTTAGTTATGTGATACTGTCTGTGTACGTCTGTGTATAAAGAGATGTCTGAAAAGATGTTCATCAAAATGTCAACACCACAAAAGTGTGGTGGTAATGGAATGCTTTTCTACTTTGTACTGTATGCACTTTGGGAAAATTTCTGTAAGAAGTAGTAGTCATTTTTAAAAAACAGCAGAACCATGCTGAAACAGGGAAAAGGTCTAAGTTAATATTGATTTCACTACATCCCCCCTCCCACCTCAGGAGTAAAAGAAAATTTATCTAACAGTTTAAAAGTAATGTGGTCACTATTCCATCAAATAAAATGCTGACTTCTTTTTTAGGTATATGGCCCCTGAAGTTCTAGATGATTCCATAAATATGAAACACTTTGAATCCTTCAAACGTGCTGACATCTATGCAATGGGCTTAGTATTCTGGGAAATAGCTCGACGATGTTCCATTGGTGGTAAATTTCTCCCTCCTCCCCCCAGATTTTGTCATGAACAAAAGTTGTTCAAGAATTGCCTTTTTTGTTGAATGAAATTATACACAGTTAACAACTGGAATTTATATTCAGCCAGTGATCACTGAAGAGTACCAGGGAGCATAAAAGAGATAAAACCTATAGTGGGGAAAACATGACATGCTGTATCCTTTTTCTGTTTCCATCTGAATCTTGAGAAACATTAGAAACCAACCTCTTGTGATCTTGGAATATTTAGATATTTAGAATGGATGATGGCTTGACAGGCCAACCAGGGAGCTATTTCTAGCATATACCTGGGTCAAACTGATTTTTTTCCCTCAGAAATTGTGGTTATTTTCTCCATCTTAGTAGCTGGAAATTACATATACAGAATATAATTACACTGCCATTACATTACTTTTTTTTTTAACATTTTTTATTGATTTATAATCATTTTACAATGTTGTGTCAAATTCCACTGTTCAGCACAATTTTTCAGTCATTCATGGACATATACACACTCATTGTCACATTTTTTTCTCTGTGATTTATCATAACATTTTGTGTATTTTTCCCTGTGCTATACAGTGTAATCTTGTTTATCTATTCTACAATTTTGAAATCCCAGTCTATCCCTTCCCACCCTCTACCCCCCTGGTAACCACAAGTCTGTATTCTCTTACATTACTTTTTAAAGTAAGTTTGTTTTAGTTTAGTTTTTGATTGAGTACTTTCAGTGTTTACTTGAGAAATAGTCTTATCCTGGAGGACCCAGGCTCACCTGTAGTGCCTCAGGTTTTTGAGGCAGTGAGGGATGGATTATGTCTCTGCTTTGTAGCAAATAGAACAGGCTGCACTTCCAGCTTGCCTTGTGAGATTCACATCTTAGTGATAGTGTGTGTATCCCCGTTACCAGGTGAGGCTGTGCACTTGCAGAATAAAAGCTTTAATTTCTTGCTCTTTAGGGTTCCAGGAGAAAATGTCAATCTGGTCATCACAGCTCACAGTTAACCATCATTAAAATAGCCTTTGCTGATCCCATAGTGGCATTTAGTTTCAAGGTGTGGGCTCAGCACTGACTCAAGGAGCTGGGTTGTTGACGCAGATGTGGGTGAGCCTAGAGCAGGCTGTAAGCCCTGCTCCACTCAGCCTCATATAGTAATGGGATACTGTAACAGGACTCTCGGGGGTTCCTTTTTGATCTGGTCAAGAATATTCTGACATTATCTGAGTGAATCCTTCAAAATAGATTTTTTTTTTAACCAATGTAGGAATTCATGAAGATTACCAGCTGCCTTACTATGATCTTGTACCTTCTGATCCATCAGTTGAAGAAATGAGAAAAGTTGTTTGTGAACAGAAGTTAAGGCCAAATATTCCAAACAGATGGCAGAGCTGTGAAGTGAGTATTTATTTTGGATACTAACAAACACAGTTTTCTAAACTGCTTCTGCTTAGTAGGTGGGAATTTGCTATTTTTCCTTACAGAAAATAGACATAAGAATTCCCATTCCTTTCTTTTTCATGTCTCTTAAACCAATGAGTAAAAACAGAACAGTTTGGTTTTCATGTTCAATTTAAGCACATTGTAAGTGGCGTGGAATGTTTTCAGTGACCATCAGCGTATCAGAACATTGTTTAGATTTGCCAGTGAACCAAGGCTCCTTCATTTTTGCTTAAAGCTTCCCTTCAATTAGGGCCGCCCAGAGTAGCAGGCTCAGTGCTGGATGGAATTAGGAAGCCTGCATTCTAGATCAGCCTGGCTGCCATAGAGAGTCCGACTTTAGACAAGACGTTACAGTTCTCTGGACTGTAATATACCTTTTTGTAAAATGAGGGATTTGAATGATGTGAAGATGGTTCAGATGTTTTTACATCTTAATTCATCTCATTGCCCATATGACCATTCACCAGGAATTTGGGGAAAATGCTTTCCAGCAGTGTCTGACAAAAAGTTTTTGACATATTTTTGTAGTTGTACATTTAAAGAATTCTGACAAAAAGTTTTTGAAATATTTTTGTAGTTGTACATTTAAAGAATTCATAAGAAATTTTATTTAATCTATCCTTAATTGTTAGCTGTTAACTATATAATGTTGGTGAAGCAAAACATTTCCTTCCAGATTTGAAGTTATATATTTTAGGAAGAATAAAAAGCTGGTCACTGAAATAGTTGATTTTACATCTTAAAAAAATGTAGGACCCAAGTAGATGCCTTTGACATCGAGAGAGCTCCTTGGCTACCTCTAGCAAAATCAAGTATCCAAGCCCAGATAAAATGTATAGTATGTTCACAGAATTTGCATATTTATTAACAAATGGAATTGGGCTAGATTTTGTCTTTTAAAATTTTGATTTTGATTCCTTTGATACTATAATAAGCTGGAAGTATTCATGAACTCATGCAATAATTAGAGCAGATTATTATTAAACAGACGGCTTTTTAAGCATGGAGGAAAGTTAGCGGTCAACATTAAGAACACATATGCAATTTGGAATTAACTGTCACAGCATGCTGAATTAATGTCATCACTGTCATTTTTGTTTTTTCTCCATTTGGTTAGTTTTCTACATACTTAACATTAACTTACTCTTCCACTTTTCTAGGGCTTTATAAATCTTTCAATAGTTGAAACCCATCAAGAATATGAAACTGATAGAATACCTAAAGTGTCTTCAGAACCTTCTGACCTTTTCCAGTCTGGATTGGCTGTTCTCCAGGCCAGCTGTACAGCTCTCATCTTGGAACATCCCTCACCCTTCATCCTGGGGATTCCCTTTGCCTCTTATGGTGAATCCTTCCTGGACCCATGTCTTATTTTCCCCCTTTCAGGTCTCTGCTCAGATGTTACCTTGTCAGTGAGACATTGCTTCTCACCCTATGTAAAACAGCACTTTACTTCCTTGGCTTATTTTATCTCCTTCCCAAATGATGTTTCTCCTTAACACTTAGTGACAGTCCATGCATTTTGCTTATTAATTATATGCTTTAGCCCTCTAGAATGTCAGCTCTATGAGGGCATGGATTTTTTCTCTTCACTGCTGTGTCCCTAACACCTGGGATGGTATCTAGAAGATTGTAGGTGCTCAGTTTGCTGTATGAATTTATGTATGTGCTGGGCCCTTCGTCATTTTTACCTGGAAACAAATGTTCATCTCTAAGAAATTTTCCTCAAATATCTCTTTGAGGTGTTCCCTTCCATATTCCTCTGTTGTTTTTCTTCAGCTCTGTTACGAATGTAGACGTTGTGAACAGGCCTTCTAATTTTCTTATCTTTTCCCTCCTGTTTATCTGGGTTTTTTTCCCTCCATTTTTCTAGAAGTATCAGCTTTTATCTTTTTTTTTTCAGTCAGGTTTATCTTCCAGTTCTTCTGTAACGTTTTTCCAAAACCAAACAAGAAACAAGAAACTACTGATGATAAACCCACTGTCAGTATTTTCTTTAATCTCTTTGATGATCTTAAGGATATATTGTTGATACTGTTTTCTCCAAGTTGCTTTTTTCTGGTGATGTCAGCCTGTCTGCAGTTCCCATTCCTGTCCTCAAGGCTCTGATCAGATACTCTTCATGTATGAGAGGGGTCCTGAGAGCTGATGGGAAACTCTGTGCACATGGTGGAGCTTACTGTCATCGACTGTGATTGCAGGCTGATCAAATTGGGTTGCTTCCTTGGAGAATCACAGACGTCAGTCTCTTCTGGCCTCTCCTCTTGGGCTGAAGAGTCTTCTCGTCTCTCGCCTGAGGAGAATGTAAAATTGCTGGCCATGTGTTGGGAAGAATAGTTTAGTCTTAGCATTCAGCGTGTTGTCAGTATGGAACTGTGCCCTCATACTCCCCAGGACAGAAATGTCTGTGACACAAATCTCTCCTCTTCTGCTGGGTAGGGGTGAGGCAGTCACCCAGCTGTGTGCAGTTGGGGAGGGGCAGAAATCTAGGGTTCCAGCTCTTTTGGCTGATCCTGTTTTAGCCTGAACTTCACCCCAGGGCTACCTGATGCAGTTAATTCCTCAGTTTGGAGGGAGTTTCCATGTGAGTCAGGTTCCTTCTTTTCCTTGTACAACTCTGTTAAGTCAGTCACCCTTCGCCCATCTGCTTTCCAGTTGCTGGCACCTGTACCCTATTGATGGGAACTTGGGTCATTTCTTTCCCTTTTTTAAAAATTTTAATTATTTATTTATGTATTTATTTTACAATATCATTTTTTAAATGTAGTTGATGTACAATATTATGTTACAGGTATACTATATAGTGGCTTATAATTTTTAAAGCTTACACCCTATTTATAGTTATTATAAAATATTGGCTGTATTCCCCATGTTGTACAATACATCCTTGTAGCTTATTTTATACCTCCACTTCCATCTGGCCCCTTCCCCTTCCCTCTCTCCTCTGGTAACCACTAGTTCCTTCTCTGCATCTGTGAGTCTGTTTCTTTTCTGTTATATTCACTAGTTTGTTGTATTTTTTAAGATTCCACAAGTAAGTGATATCTTATAGTATTTGTCTTTGTCTGACTGACTCATTTCACTTAGCATAATGCCAAGTCCATCCATGCTGTACACCAGAAACCACTACAATCAACTGTACTTCAGTTAAAAAGCAGACAGCCAACCAACCCATTTAAAATATGGGCAGAAGAACTGAACAGGTTTTTTTCTAAAAAAGGAAATGCAGATGGCCAACAAGAACGTGAAAAGCTGCTCAGCATCACCAGTATCAGGGAAACGCAAATCAAAACCATGAGACACCATCCCACACCTGTCAGAGTGGCCAGCATCAAAAAGAACAAATAACAAGTGTCTGCAAGGATGTGGAGAAAAGGGAACCCCTGTGCACTACTGATGGGAATGCAAATTGGTGCAGCCACTATGGAAAACAGTATGGAGGTTTCTCAAAAACCCCAAAACAGAGCCACTCCTGGGATATACCTGAGAAAAGCAAAAACATTAATTCAAAAAAATACATACACCCTGCTATTAACAGCCCAACATTATTTATAGTGCCAAGATATGGAAGCACCCCAAGTGCACATCAACAGATGACTGGGTAAAGAAGATGTAGCATATATGTGTAATGGAATACAACTCACCCATAAAAAAGAAGGATATTTTGCCATTTGCAGCCCTTCATTCATTTTTTTTTTCACTTTGAAAACCAGAATTTTGTAACTGGCATAAACATTTTCATTGCATCAAAAACAACAGAATACCCAGAAATAAACTTAACCAAGGAGGTTACCTACCTATACTCTGCAAACTAAAACACTGATGAAGGAAATTGAGGATGACACAAAGAAATGGAAAGATATCTTGTGCTCTTTGATTGGAAGAGTCAGCATTATCAAAATGGCCGTACTACCTAAAGCAATCCACAGATCCAATGCCCCCCCCCATCAAAATACTCACATTTCTCACAGAACTAGAACAAACAATTCCAAAATTTATATGGAGCCATAAAAGACCCCCAGCTGCCAAAGCAATCTTTTGTAGGTCTTCCCCCCACCCCCGTTCTTTTTGTTCTCTTTTCTTAATCATTTGATGACTAGAGAAGTTCCTTTAACATTTGTTGTAAAGCTGATTTGGTGGTGCTGAACTCTTTTAGCTTTTGTTTATCTGTGAAGCTTTTCATTTCTGCATCAAGTCTGAATGAGAGCCTTGCTGGACAGAGTATCCTTGGTTGTTAAAAAGTTTTCCCCTTTCATCACTTTATATATATCATGCCACTCCCTTCTGGCCTGTAGAATTTCTGCTGAAAAATCAGCTGATAACCTTATGGGAATTTCGTTGCATGTTATTTGTTGCTTTTCTCTTGTTGATTTTAATACCTTCTCCTTATCCTTAATTTTTGTCAATTTGATGACTGTAGTGTGTTGTTCATTTCAGTGAGTTCATTCTTCATCTCTGTTTGGGTATTCTTTATATTTTCTGGCTCTTTGCTAAAAACTTCACTCTTTGCGTCTATATTCCTCTTAGGTTCTCTGAACATCTTTGCCATCATTATTTTAAACTCCTTGGATAAATTGCCTACCTCCTCATCACTTATTTCTTCTGGGGTTTTATCTTGTGCTTTGGCCTGGGAGATGTTCCTCTGCCACCTCATACTGTCTATCTATTTGTATTTTTAGGTAGGCTAGTTATGTTTCCCAACCTTGGAGAGGTGGCCCTCTGTGGGAGACGTCCTACGTGTTCCAGCAGTACACTCCTCTGTTGTCACCCAAGGGTCAGGGTCCAGCCGGTTCCATTGTAGAGCCTGGCCTGTGTTTGTGGATTCCTTCCACAGGCTTCGGGATTGTAGTTTTCCTGTTTCTGGAATCAGCCCCCTAGTGGATGAGGCTGGACTAGAGGCTTACACAGGTTTCCTGGCAGGAGGAGCCAGTGCCTGCCCACCGCTGGGTGAAGCTTGGTCCTGGACCTCTGGTGGGTAGGACTGTGTCTGGAGGCATTTGTGCCTCAGGAAGTCTGCTGATGGGTGGGGCTGTGTTCCCACCCAGTATGTTGTTTGGCCTGAGGCTTCCCAGCCCTTAAGCCTACAGGCTGTTGGGTGGGGCTGGGTCTTGGTGCTAATGATCTAATCAAGATGTCAGCCTCCAGGAAAGCTCATGTAGATGAATACTCCTGGAGTGCCCGCCACCAGATTTTATGTCCCCTGGGTGAGCCGCAGCCGTCCCTTACCTACCCAATTGATCCTCCAAAACCAGCAGAGAGGTCTGGCCCATGTTGCTGTGAAATCACTGCTTCTGCCCTTGGACCTGGCGCACGTGAGATTCTGTGTATACTTCCCAAGAGAATGAAGTGTCTGTTTCCCCCAGTCATGTGGGGCTCCTGGAGTTAAGCCCTAGTGGCCTTCAAAACCAGATGTCCTGGGTCTCTTCCTCCTCCCAATGCCGGAACCCAAGGCCAGGGAGCCTGACGTGGGAATTTAGGTCACTTCTACTCATTTCCTCATACAAATAATGCTAAAACAAAAATACTTGTATGCATGTCATTTAAAAAGGAAATTTACAGGTAAAGGTTATTATCCAGATCAATGAAAAGTGGTACATGCCTTAATTATTTTTCTTGTCTTTTCTTGCAGGCCTTGAGAGTGATGGCAAAAATTATGAGAGAATGTTGGTATGCCAATGGGGCGGCTAGGCTTACAGCTTTGCGGATTAAGAAAACACTGTCACAGCTCAGTCAACAGGAAGGCATCAAAATGTAAAATCTATGACTTTGCGTGAACTCTACTTTTTCTTCAGATCTGCTCCTGGGTTTTAATTTGGGAGGTCAATTGTTCTACCTCACTGAGAGGGAACACAAGGATATTGCTACCTTTTGCAACAATATAATAAGGTCAATTAAAAACTTCCCAGGATTTCTTTGGATCCAGGAAATAGCCGTATGGGGTCCTTTCTGTGCACTATGAACGCTTCTTTCCCAGGACAGTTACAAAATGTTACGTAGTCTACCTTTATTTTTTATTAACACAAAACTTGTTTTTTTAAAAAATGATTGCCGATCTTATCTTTAGGTAACTCTGCTATGCTGAAGGTCACCTTTAAGGGTAAAGGAGCTGGACTGCTGAGTGAGACGAGATATGTCTTATTTTTAAAGAAAGTGATTTTTCTCCTGGTTAGTACATTCTCAGAGGATTCTGAACCACTAAAGAGTTTCCTTGATTCAGACTTTGAATGTACTGTTCTGTAATTTTCAGGATCTTAAAATTAATGCTTATAAAACTCTTATCTTGAGTCTAAAAATGACCTCATATAGTGGTGAGGAACATAATTTATGCAACTGTATTTTGTATATTATTATTGTTCTTTCACATATTCAGAACATTTACCTGCCTTTAAAATGGGATTGTACTATACCAGTAAGTGCCACTTCTGTGTCTTTCTAATGGAAATGAGCAGAATTGCTTAAAGTCTATGTGTGTTAAAACCTGTAGTGTTTTAATTCAAAAGTTTTATGTCTCTGAGTAATCCACACTTTTTCTGTTTTGTTTTTTGGAAGAGTATTTGTGGTATGTCATTTAGTATTCCATTTTGAAACTGCCTTTCTCCTACCAAACTGTGCTTAAACCACTAAAAAAAATGAAGTGGCATTAATTGGTAAATTGTTATCATGGTCATGTTTGGATATTCTCCCATTAGGCTTTTGCAGTTTACTTTTGTTGTCTGAGTATACTGAAAAAATCAAGTGGCACTCTGGCTGCTTATAATACTTCAATAATTTAAAATCTGGAGCACACAGACTAATTTTTCTAAAAGGGAAAATTTGTCTAGCTGCTTATAAAAAGTTTATGGCATTCTGTAAGCCATTGTTTCTTTATCTGGTCAAAGACAGTGTTATTTTTTTAGGAAATCAACTACACTTAAAATTAGAATATGGGTAATGTTAATAGGCTTTTTTCTAGGAAGGCAAAGGTAGTTAATAATTTGAATAGATGACAGGTGTGTGGGAGTCGCGTTAGCCGTGTAGGCGTCAGTGTTCCGTGGGTTCTGTCTGTGTAGTGAGGGTTAGAGACAGCGTGGCTGTGAGGTCGCACTGCGCTCGGAGGAAGGCAGCTTTTGTCTCCGTCTTTCCTTCTGTGTGCAGACGCTGCCACTGCTAACTCACGTGGCTATGGAATGTATTCAGTGCACCCTTGGTATTTGGGAAAGTGGTCACTAAAGAATATTCTGAGGATAGGTTCACCATTTACAAATGTTTTTGGTCAAGTGTTTAAAGCAAATTTGTCATGGTCTTCTCACGTTAAGTTGAAACTAGCTTATAATAACTGATTTTTACTTCCAGTGCTAAAAGTCTGTAAGATTTTTACAATTTTCAAAGTCCTCTTTATCACTGTGATCTTATTCTGAGGGGGGAAAATCCATCATAGCTGTGAGGCAAGACTTTTGACTACGTAGTGCTATCAATTTCCTGATGAAAGGGTCAGAATAACCTTTACAGTATTTTGGTCAGGAAGAGGTAGTGGCAATTTATGCTGACTGAGCTGCACTCTGATAATGTCTTATCTCTTATACCTAGAATACATTTGAAAGACTATTTGGTCTTAAAGCCAAAGTAATTTTAGAATGAATGACATATTACATAGGAATTTAGTGTCAGTTTCATGTGTTTAAAACATGGGGAAAATGTTTAGAGGTTAATGTTTTGACTCCAAATTTTGAGTTTTTCTTCTCTGTAGTTACCATGATTTCATCAAAGCAAATGAGTGAGTTTGAGAAGTTTGTTTTTATAATTGTGTTATATTTCCTGTTTAATAATCTCTAGCTTTGTGATCAGGTACTTTTTTATTTTTTGGCCATTTCCAAGCCTACCAGATCTGCTTTATGAAATCCAGGGGACCAATGCATTTTGTCACTGAAACTATTTTTATATAATTTTAAGAACATACCAAAAGTTCTTGTCTGATTTAAAATTGTGATACATGATTTTTCACTTTCATATAAGGTAATCAGCTTTTGCTGAAGAGATTCTTCATTAAATAAAAAATTGAGTTACAGTTTTACTGTTCTTGCCTAAATAAAATGTACTTTTGATGAATCAGGGAATTTTTTTAAAAGTTGGAATTTAGTTCAAATTTGGGTTTACATGTTACTTTAATTAATTCCTTTTTTGGCTAATGGCAGTTTGATAAACCTCAACTGGGTAATATTGAAAATTAAAGTAACTTAAGATTTATAGATCACGATTACTGTGGCTATAAATTGCAGAAAAATTTGACTAGAGAATTAATTTTTACCATTTAAGAACACAAGCCTTTGTTTATACTGCCTATCTTCAGATGCTCACTTTCCAAGAATCAACTTGGCTAAGATATACCTTCAGGCAAATTATCTGTCCACTTCCATTTTGTCAGTGCTCCCAGAGGAGTGGGGATGGGAGGGGTATGACCTAGTAGACATCCCTGGTCCTTTCTTCATACCCTTGGCTCTTTTTCTCCTACCCTGTCTTCCTGCTGGCCCTTGACTCAGTGCGGTGGTAGCTGTGGCAGTGGGAGTCATGCCAGAAGCAATGGCCATTTGTATCCTCTGTAGGACAGGGTAAGGTCCAAAGAGCTGAGCCTGTAGTTACGCTCCAGAAGTGCCTTGAGTCAGTATACAGTGCCATGGCCTCAAGAATTCTAAATTTCAGTTCTTACTACAAAATTTCAGTTCTTAACTATAAAATTCATGTGATCATTTTGCAGCTCATCCACGAGTTGCCTTTTTCACCCCCTACATCAGAGAACTGTCATGTAAGAGTATTTTGTAAAACAAGATGACAAAGTGCTAAGTAAAATGTACAACAAAATTAGTATTCCACTAGACATGTCATATCAAGAGTTTTTAATTCCTGCACTGAAAGAGTGATTGGCAGTAAACTGTTTCTTGACCATGGCAGTGCTCTGGCTCCAGATGGTGGAGAGCCCAAATAACGGTTCTGTCACAGCTTGGCAGGAAATGCCAATTCAGACATTTTTGAGATTCTAAAGGGTAGCTCATGACGTGTACTGCGGCTTCTTGTGTCTGTTTGGGAATGCTGGAATGCCCATGGCCCTCTCTCTAGGAATGCTGGACTTCGGGACGTTCTGAGGATTGTCAGTACATTCGAACTTTTCAACCCTATTATGCAGTCTTATTTTCAATTGTGAACTTTAAAAAATACAGTTAATAACATCCAACCTGTTTCTTAAAGCTTAAAAAGAACTTCAGTGAATGTTTTTATTTTTAAACAAGATTTGTGAATTGAATATCATGAACTATGTTTTGATATCCCTTTTTCACATTGTGCCAATGGAACGGGGTGTTTGATATTTCTTTATATGTCAAGGAGATGCTTCAAAATATCAATTGCTTTAAACTTAAATTACCTCTCAAGAGACCAAGGTACATTTACCTCATTGTATATATGATGTTTAATATTTGTCAGAGCATTCTCCAAGTTTGCAGTTTTATTTCTATAAAGAATGAGTATTAAGTTGCTAAATTACTCCAATGGTACTGTATTGTTTATATCTGTACCCCAAATAACATCATGTATACTTTGTTTTCTGTATTTTATTGTATTTGTGCAAAATTCTTTTGGCTTTATTACTGTAATCTCTGCCCTTTAAGATGTGTACAGAAAATGTCCATATAAATTTTCATTTAAGTTGAATGATTTTGAGAAGCCTGTAAAGAGGAGAGAAAATCAAACTTCAGTTCCCCATAAGTTTTTAACAATTGTATATTGTATTTGTAGTAATATTCTCAATGAACTGTAAATAGGAAGTAGAAGATAATGCTTATGTCCAGTCCTAACACTACAGTAGACAAATGGAAGCAATGCAAATAAATTACTTTTTTTCCCAAGTGCTAGACGCATAATTTAAAATCAGGTGTGTATTGGAGTGAGCCACGCTGTAGTGTGATGGAGTTGCTATAGGTAGAGACTAGCGTCTTTGCATGACTCTCCAGTACATATTACAGCATTATTATAACATATTGGAGGAGTGCCTGCCTGTCCAAAGGTGCATCTGCATGTGTGCGGGTTTCTTTCCACTTGCTTGAGGGCGGTTCTGTCAGCAGAGAGGATGAGACATGTCTACGTGTGAAATGCTTCTGCCTCTGGTTCAGCAGATTTGCTAAGTTTGTGTTCCAGCGGTGTTATTTTGATTCTTAAAGGTTTTCAATGATTTTCAAAGGAAATTAATTTTCATCTTCTTTCCTAATTTAAGGATTTGTGAGAAAAAAAATTTGTTGAAGCTTTTTTTCGAGTAGATTTGAATAGTCCGTCTCCTGGGAGTGAGAACTTGGCTGACAAGAGAACTGAGGAAGTGGTAGAGGGAGGAGGGGCGGCCCCCAAACGCTGGGAGAGAGTGCAGACTGGATTGCTCTTTCATTCAAGTCTAGTCACTTTAATTCAGAGACTGGGTTTAGGAGTACCCCCCCCCGCCCCCACAATAAAGACATCACTAGGATGTACAGCTTTTGTCAGAAATTAGAAGAAAGATTATCTTTAAAGCATGTAGTTTTATAAGACTCATAGAAGGGAGAACTAGCTTTATCTCTATCTAGTCATCTCTTCTGCCTTTAGGATTTCCTAATTTAGAGAAAGTGATTTTACATATACGGCCTGATGCACAGATTTTGCAACTCGGCTTTTTTATTTCTTATTTGAGGACATAGAAAACAGTGGGACTTTTCTGAAAAGTGCATAGAAGAATGTGATGTTACAAGAGGTAGGGCTCAGACACATATGACTTTTTTAAGAGTTAGAAATGGAAAAAATCTTGTAAGATGACTATTTACTTTCCTACTATGGAAGAATAGAATTATAAGAAAGGGGGCTTGGCAATTTAACTATTTCAAAGAAGGGAAAGGGGAAAGAAATGGTTGAGGGAGTGTAAGAAAAATAGGGGACAAAAGGAGAGTACTGGTGTGGACCAGTGATGCGCACAGAGAGTGGTAGACAGCACTTGGGGTATTAATGCTGTACTAGATGGTGTGCAGGGAGCTGTGGCTCGGTAATGTTAGATGTTTTAAAGAAAAAACATCTAACATGTATGGCTATCAACACTAAAGTCAGAGCTGCTGCTTGACACTCCTCATACCCACAAGAGAAATCAGATGGTCACTGGATTCACAAGCTGGAATAGATGTGGGCAACGAGTGATAGGTTAAATGCACTTTTGAGATTTAATTCCAGATGTGAGAGATGACTGTACTTGCCAATATCTAGCATTTGAGTTTTGTCCAAGTACTTTTATATGCATGATCTCACCTGATTTTTGCAACTAGAATGGACAGTGACTAACTGAAGATGCTCTAAGAAGGTACACAGGGCTGAGAGGAGCCTGCCAATCCTCTATGGAATGGCCGAAGGTGACCTGGGTGTGGATTTGATAGAGCATATTGAACTTTATAGTATTCAGTTAAAGTAGTGCTGAGAGGAAAATTTAGTTTTAAATACACATATTTGGAGAGGTATTTAGATCTCATGAAAAGAGATGCACAAATCCTTCACACTATTAGCAAACTGAATGCAGCAGCAAGTAAAAAGGTTTATACACTGGACCAAATATGTATCTTAGACTTGCAAATGCGATTTCACATCCAAAAAGTTTTATACTATATTAATAAAATGATAAAATCCACATGGCCAACTAAATAGACACAGGAAAAAGCATTCGACAGAACTCAACACCCATTCAAGATAAAAACTGAAACTAGGAATATAAGGCAACTTCCTCAGCCTAAGTGAAGGATTTTTCAATCTATGAAAATTCCACAGCTAATATACTTAATGATGAAAGAGTGCTCTCCTCCTGAAACCAGGAGCAAGTCAAGAATATCCACACATTTTTATTCAACATTGTAGTGGCGGTTCTATCCAGTTCCTGATCTCTCCCTGATCCAAATATTAAAGGCATTCAAATCTGAAAAAGTAAAACTATTCATAAATGACATGATCTTGTATGATCCTCAGAAATCCACAAAATAGCTACCAGAATAAATTGTAAGGTTATATAATACAAGATCAATATACAAAAATCAGTTGAAATTCTCTATTAGCAATAAACAATCCCCTTAGAATTAAAAACTTCCACTCATAATAGCATCAGAAATACAAGAATAAGTTTCACTGAAAAAGTGTAAAAATTACTGAGAGAAGATAAAGATCTAAATGAAGAAACATCCCAAATTTTTGTGGATTAGAAGATTCACAACTGTTATAATGATAGTTCTCCCCAAAGTGTTCTCTAGCTTCAATTCAATCCATACCAATATTCTAGCAGACTTTGTTTAGAAATTGATAAACTGATCCTTGAGAATGCTAAGTACCTCAAATAGCCAAAATTATTTTGAAAAAGAACAAGATTAGAGGAATTCCCCTACGCAATTTCAAACCTTAAAAAGGTGCAATAATCAAGACAGTGTTTGTTGGCATGAGGATAGGCATACAGAGCAACGGCACAGGATTCAGAGTTCAGAAATAAACCTGTAAATACATGTAAATACATACAAATGATTTGACATATGTGCCTAGACATTTCAGACTGTGAAAGAACAGTCTTCAATACAAGGTGTTGGGACAAGTGGATATGCATATGAAAACAGAGGACAGGAAGACCCTTACCTCATTAGAGACCTAAAGATAAAAAGCAAAGGCTACACAACTTCTAGAAGAAAGTGGGAGAAAATCTTTTGTGACCTTTCATTAGGCCAAGACTTCAGTGTGACACCAAAAGCAAAATTTAAAACATGGTCATAAACTGGACAAAGTTAAAATCTTTCGAGCTTAAGAAAAGAATCACTGTTAAGGGGAGAGAACTGAAAACTGAGGGAAAAAGTCTACAAATCATGTATCTGATAAAAGACATATTCAGAATAAAGAACTCTCATAACTCAAGACAAATGATCCAATCAAAAGTGGCCAAAAACTTTGATAGACATTTTCCAAGAGATACATGAATAGCTAGTAAACAATTTAAGACTGTTGATAAAATTAAAACCACAATAAGCACCCACTTCACTCTATAATGGCTATAAGAATAATTTTAAAAGACAATACCAAGTGTTGGCGAGGACTGGAAACTAGAATCTTCATACATTGATGGTACAGGCCCTTTGGAAAACAGTTTCTCTTCTCATGGACAATTTCTTCATTAGTTAAATATAGAGAGAGGGTATCAAGATGGCGTAGGATGTGGAGCTCATCTTCACAAATATCAAAACTACATCTACATGTGGAACAATTTTCATGCAGAACTAACTGGAAACTGGCAGAAGTACAACCAAGGCTGCAAGAAAGATTCCCAAGTAACCAGATAAGACAGGGGAAAAAGCACTGGGTCGGGACCTGTGCCTCTGAGGAGTCTTAAGAGGAAACGAAAGATGGCATAGGTGGCCTCTCACCCTGGGGAGTGAGTAGGTTGAGCCAAAGACTGAGCGTCTCAGTTGTGAGGTCCTGTGTAGAAGAGACATGCACCCTTGGCTGCTGGGAGAACCACTGAGACAGAAAGGCTGGAGAAGCCTAGGCTCCACTTGCTACGAGTGCGCAGATGCTGGCTTGCCAACAGACAGAGCAGAGAGAGGTCTGCCCTAGTGGCTGCTGCCTCCAGCATTCCCCAGTCCTACCTGGGGGAACACCCAGGCCCCACACACTCCACACCACAGGCTGGCACAGGATCTAGAGCAGCTGAGTCCTGGGAAAAGACTATCTAGGGACAGGTGGCCTGGAGGGGCTGGGGTGTGGTCCAGGTGGGGCGGCAGCAACTACTGTTGGCAGTTACTCAAACAGAGCCACATAGGCAGCCCAGCCGCTCAAACTCCCATGACCAACATACCAGGATCCCTGCTCCCAGTGCAGTGAACACTGAGCCTGCCCACTCTGCACCATAACATGGCATCAGATCTAGGGCTGCCAGGTCCTGAGAACAGACTTGATCTCAGGACACCAAAGCAGCCCTGGGGACCTGGAGTGTGGTCCAGGTAGGATGGTGGCAGTCACTGTTGGTGCTTTCTCAAACTGTGCTAGGAAAGCAGCATAGACCTCTGACAGCAGTGCAGCTGCTTCAATTCCTGCAACCACAATGCCCCAAACCCCAGTCCCAGCCTAGCAAACACTCTGGCTCCACCCACTCCATGCCACAACATTGCACTAGATCTGGGACAACACAGCAGAGGAAAAGACACAAGCTTGGGCTGTGTCTGAGCAGAGCCACAGACACCTACACAGGCAGCACATCAGACCTCTATAATCACGTGGGCCTCACCTACTGCAGCACTCCTCTCCTTCGGGGCAAAAGCCCTCGTGCGAGGCGGAGGGAAAACACTTAAAGGTAACAGAGACTGCTTGAGCCTGAACCTCAGGGCTTCTGCTCCAGCAACTTGGGAGCTGACCCCACCCCAGGGATGGCTGAAACAGACATTGAGCAGAGAGGAAGTCCCACCGCACACTCTGAGCAGGCTTTAGCTTCTCCAAAACCAGTCACACCTCCAATCATAGTGGCCAGCAGACCCTGAGGAAGGATGTGACTGATATCCACATCAAATCTAGTCCTTGCACCAAAGACATTGGGCACATGCAGTCTACATAGGGATGCTTCCACACAAAAACACCCTTCAATACCCCAATAGACAACTTTCACCTAAATTCAGAGACAGAAAAAGTTAAGTAAAATGAAAAGGCAGAGGAACCCCAATTAAACAAGCAAGAGAAAACCCCTGAAAAATAATGAAACAAATAATCAGTCTACCAGACACTAGGTTATAAAGTTAGTAATAAAAATGCTAACTGAACTAAGAGTACTGATATAAACACTGATCATTTTAACAAGGAACTAGAAAGTATAAGGAAGACCTAATCA